GATGGACACTGCATACAATACGTGCTTATTTATACAGTGTTACACAGACTTGCCATTCTCTTTTTTAAGTGAATCTTCAAAAAATAAATAAATACATAAGATGGAAATTATATTTTGATATATCTTGATAAATTGGCCAAACACATTTTTTTGATGGACACTGCATACAATACGTGCTTATTTATACAGTGTTACACAGACTTGCCATTCTCTTTTTTAAGTGAATCTCCAAAAAATAAATAAATACATAAGATGGAAATTATATTTTGATATATCTTGATAAATTGGCCAAACACATTTTTCCCCCCATTACAATTAGTATAACTTGCAACTTGGTCCTAATTTTTATGCAAAATATTTTCTTCTTCTTCTTTTGATTATGGGATTAAATATAATATGTTTTTGGCAGTTTTTTGTAAGATTCACTTATTCACAGAATATCTTGAATGTCAAATGCTTCTAAAATGTTGGATTTGTTTAAATGAGCTTTTACATGTGAATCTAAAATGACAATGTGCTTTTATTGTGTGAGTTGTGAATTTATCTTGATGGATGACATTCACAACACAGACGCGTAAATAAGTGTGCATGATTTTTTTTTTTGGTGTGTAACATGCAAGTGTTGTTGTGATTGTCATGCTCTCCAGTAGTTGACATAAATGACACCTGTGACAATAGTTTTCTCCACACATTTTAAAGGCAAGCAAGATACATTCAGTACAGGACTTGTTTCTTGTTTGTTTGTTGTTGTTTTGTTTTTTTGTTTCATGTTGCATGACAGTAAATTTAACATATTCAGGCAAAATTACCATATGAGGGAGTGCACTAAATGTATATATACATTAGTTCAGGTTAACTAATGATAGTTAAGTCTTGCTAATGATTATGTTGATTAAAAAAGATCAATCATTCCGATGCCTTTCCAACTTGCCAACTCAGGTACAATACTTACATAAATCATTGAGCATTATAAATACAAAGAGACATTAGAACCAACCAATTAGAACTGATCTCAGATCTGTCAGTGCTCATTATTCTCTCCAACCCCAGCTCTGTTTAATAGAGTAAAGCTTAGCTGAATAAGTAGCAGTCTTGGATTTTTGGGGAAAGCAAAAGCATTCCAATAAAAATGTTCAACAGCATAAAAATAAAGAATCAGATTCTAATTGTAATAAAAACAGTGTATCTTGACCTAGGTCTGGTTTCTCCAATGCAACTCATATTAGACAGATCTCAGTTTAATATAAAAGGTTTAATTCTGTCTGTGCCTGTTTATTGTGCTGAACTAAATCTTTTTGTCTTCTTGTTTTTGACTGGGTTCAGTAGAGTTAAAAGAATAGTTCACCAAAATGAAAATTTGCTTGAAGTTTACTCATTCTCATTAGTTTATTGTTATTGGCTCAATGATGATTGTTGGTTTGTTTCTTACAAACACGCAGCTTTTGTCTTCTCCAGATGTTAACTGATGGACTGGAGTGGTGTGGATTATTGTGATGTTTTTATCAGCTGTTTGGACTCTCATTCTGACGGCACCCATTCACTGCAGAGCATCCATTGCTGAGACAGTGATGTTACATGTAATGTAAAATTGCTCCAAATCTGTTTTGATGAAGAAACAATCATCTTAGAAGGCTTGAAGGCGAGTACATTTTCAGCAAATTTTCATTTTTGGGTGAACTATTCCTTTAAGCTTGATCAATAGCATGTTGTCATTTACTGCAGAAAACAATTGAGCTTTTGATTTAGTTTGTAAAAACAAAAATTGAGTTTACAGTAATGCACTTGCAATAGTGGAAGTCTACGGGGCAAGACATTGTACTGTTATAAATGTTAAAATACATACAATTTCGAAAGTGTAACCTCAAGACTAGACACAAAGCTAATGTGAGAATATCAGTTACTAACCTTCTCTGTGCACAGTATATAGCTTCACATTTCAGCTTTAAACCTCACTGTGGTGCACTTACCCGAAGAAGTTCATTGTAAATGCATTACTGTAAACAACATTTGTTTTTTTATACACTGAGGGGCAAGTCCAGATGATTTTCTGTGGTAACCGACAGCATGCCATGCGATGCATTTTGGGTTATGGAACAGGTGGAGTTATGAACCACATTCTGAGGCACTGCACACTGTGATGTTCAACAATGTCTGATGGGAAACTGACAGTAGTTATTTAATCCAGCCAACCGGTGTCTTTCGATCTGAAATCATGGAATGACACAAACACGTTTTAAAAGTGAAGCGCTTCGCTTTTCATTGTCACTGACGCAGCTTGTATTTGTCAAACACACAAAGCAATACTAACACAGTTCTCTGGTCAGGTTAACCTATGACCTTCATGACTATTTGTGAACTATGATCTTTAAAGTATGCCTCTGTCCACTTAGTGCAAAGGATGCTGACCGCTGAAGCCAAGCCCCACACGTATATGATGCCTTGCAAAAGTATTCAGACCAGCATCCAATTCGTAAATTATAATGAACTACAAATCCTGCATATAAAGAAGTGAAGTGTGTATCCTGCGGAAAACAGATTTTCTAAAATAATGAATTTTCAAACACCTGCCAATATTCAAGCAAGCAGCCCCTGATATATCAGGCCCAGACAGACTTCTCAAACAGACTGCACTTCCATTTGGTGCTGATACTGGTGCAGAAGTTCTTTCATTTTTTCTAAATACACTAATTTAATACAGGATATATAGATGTAAGAATAAGAAAATAATCTTAGGAATTATATATTATATGTGACCCTGGAGCACAAAAGCAGTCTTAAGTCGCTGGGGTATATTTGTAGCAATAGCCAACAATACATTGTATGGGTCAAAATTATAGATTTTTCTTTTATGCCAAAAATCATTAGGATATTAAGCAAAGATCATGTTCCATGAAGATATTTTGTAAATTTCCTACTGTAAATATATCAAAACTTAATTTTTGATTAGTAATATGCATTGCTAAGAACTTCATTTGGACAACTTTAAAGATGATTTTCTCAATATTTAGATTTTTTTGCACCCTCAGATTCCAGATTTTCAAATAGTTGTATCTCTATACTAACAAACCATACATCAATGGAAAGCTTATTTATTCAGCTTTCAGATGATGCATAAATCTCAATTTCAAAAAATTGACCCTTAAGACTGGTTTTGTGGTCCTGGGTCACGTATTATATTATATTAAGAAAGCTTTCTTATAATTAATTTTACACAAATTAAAAATATTTACCCTACTTATAACGCAACTGTCTATGGAAGCTTATTTCTGCCATTGAATAAAAAAATAAACTAAAAAGCTAATTGCAACTTTTTATTTCACAATTTTGCTTTTTTCCCCCTTGAAATTCTGAGAAAAAAAAGTCAGAATTGCAAGAAGAAACGTCTGAATTGTGCATGAAAAAAGTTGAGATTAAATTATGAGATAATTATAGAATCTGTTAAGCATCATGCTATGCAGTTGCTAGGAGTTTCTGGTTGTTTGCTATAGGGTGTTGAGTACTGCTCCAAGTCAAAGAGCTCATCAGCAAGTGATATTCTGATGCAGTCTGCTAAAAACTCCTGAAGCCTGAGAGAAAGCTCATTCAGCGGGACATTCAGCACTAGCTGAAGAACAGAGAGCCGAATGTGCTGGAATGGCACAGTTATAGCACTGACGTCACAGTCTGTGGCACTATTGGAACATTGTAATGCAGAAGGAACATCTGACTAATCTCAAACAACCTGGAGCAAATCTGCCTGGAAAAAAAACAGGCCAAAATGACATCTGGACAGTGTGCTCATGCATTCATACTCCAATAGTATTCATAGTCTCAAAGCTGCAAGGGGTGGCTCTACAAAATTTTAAATTTGGGAATAAATGCATATTATAGATCTTATTGTTACATTTCATACATGCATGTTTCATTTTTATCTATCTATCTATCTATTTATTTTGACTTCGTAATATTTAATCAGAACGTCATCTTCCAGTAAAAATGACAGAATTCTCTCCATGATGTATGTGGGACTACTCTGATCTTTTGTCCACTCAAGGCCCGCAAAAAATTGATTGAAATTGAATTTGAAAGTGTGCGAGGTAAGTAGCTTAACATTTAATATTTGACAACAAGTTTACAACAGAAATGTTCATGATCAACAGCAATATAGAGTGATGCAAGCTACTCAACGTTTTATCAAATTTTGCTGATTTGAAAATCTTTAATTTATGTGATTCATGTAATTCATAATCACATGTGACGAGACAAGAAATATTTTGCATTTTCAACATTAAATGTGTGCATAATTTAAAATAAAAATATTATTTTCAAACTAAATTGAGTACTTTATAAAAATAGTACTTTAATGTTCTTCTTTCTTTTCCAAATCTATTTAAATCCTATATTTATGTAATCCTTCATTTATATATGTGACCCTGGACCACAAAACCAGTCTTAAGTGTCAATTTTTCAAAATATTGAAACAAAGCTGAATAAATAAGCTTTCCATTGATGTATGGTTTGTTAGGATCGGACAATATTTGGTCGAGATGCAACTATTTGAAAATCTGGAATCTGAGGGTGCAAAAAAATCGAAATATTGAGAAAATCATCTTTAAAGTTGTCCAAATGAAGTTCTTAGCAATGCGTATTACTAATCAAAAATTAAGTTTTGATATGTTTATGGTAGGAAATGTACAAAATATCTTCATGGAACATGATCTTTACTTAATATCCCAATGATTTTTGGCATAAAATAAAAATGTATAATTTTGACCCATACAATGTATTGTTGGCTATTGCTACAAATATACCCCAGCGACTTAAGACTGCTTTTGTGCTGCAGGGACACATGGTCATGACCTTGGTCAATGATATTCTGGTCCTAAATGTGGCTCCTTCAGTCTAAGTCTATGAGATTTTCTTGCCTGTTTTTGTAATTAAAATCATTAGGAAACAAGCTGCATGATTTGAGGTATCTTTCCTGTCTGTAGCACTGCATCAGTTTAAGTCTACTGAGAGTTAGGTGTTTGTTAGTATGAGTGAACTGGTGAGGGTCTGAATATATTCGCAAGGTACCGTGTACACACTCACACGCCCCTCCACTAACAGCACGGATTCTCTTAAAGGGACAGGTGCACCGTTGTAAACACAAGGAGAGATGGAAAGGAGGGAAATGGAGGAAGACTTGTGATGTGTCCAAACAGCTGTTTGCAGTTGCTGCATGTTGCTCCTGTAGGCAGTGAACGTCCCAACAAACGGGACGGGCGGCTCTCAGAAGCATCTTCACTTGGTGTCACCCATTTTCTGAGTCATTTATGTGCAACACCAGCACCGGAGAGTTTGATTCAAAAAGCGTCACCGCATGCACACACGTTCATACGTTCTTGAACGCACAACCAGGCCCACGCGGAATCTGCGCAGGTTTTAGTCCTAACTGAAAAGTCCTACACATCATTCGCCCCACACATGTCCTTTTAATAAATATTTTGGCAAATCTGATAATGCTTCCAGCTGGCAACAATGATATAGCACTCTCCAATGTATCACATTTGATCCATTTCACAGAATTCCGCATTGGAGATTCCGTAGCGGAAACAGTGGAATTCTGCAGTGGAAACTGCAAAAAAAACAAGCTGCAGATTCCGTCTGGGCCTGCTAATAAACAAGCTTTTTGACACTTTCATCCACCTCCTACAATCGGCAGTACTTCCTCATGAAAGACTGGGTCTTCAGTCTCTCCAAGTAATGAAATGAAAAGTTGTTGCAGACAGCCGTTTCCGTGTTGAATTGGTGGGTTATGTTCAGATGTTTGAGCAGGGTTACAGAGAGCAGTGTGGTGTGGGCTGGAAGCATGTTGCAGAAGACATGCAGGTGTTGTAATATACGGGAGAGCAGAAAAGCGATGGTACGCCGTGTTCCGTCTGTTCCCCTTGCGTTCTTTGTCTTTTCTTGGCTGCACGTGTTCATGTCATCTCTCTGGTTCCCTCACGCACGTGACTCTTTCTTGGAGTGAGGCTTGTTGCCCAGGAGAGCATCCATCTCGCTCACAGTCTGAGGCGTCATCTGAGACAGCACCTGGAGAGAATATGAAAATCATCTTATTAGAACGCTTTTTGTGAAACGTATTCAGCAAGGATTCATTACATTGATCAAAAAAGACAGTAAAGACTTTTAGAATGTTACAAAATCTTTCCATTTCAAATCAATTCTGTTCTTTTAGACTTTCCGTTCATCAAAGATTTGTTTCCACAAAAAAATGAAGCAGCACAACATTGATAACAATAAGAAATGTTGCTTGTTTGAGCATCAGATCAGAATAGTAGAACCCTTGTGAATAAGCACACTTTAGCAAACTTTTAAAGCGAAAAATGATGTACTTTAAAGAAAATACATATTATGTGCAAACTGAATGTAATGTTTTTAGACACTTAACTGCATGTTATTTGCAATGAGAATGAGAATGTTTTATAGTTTGAACTTGTTGAAGAGTGCTTTTCTGACCCACTGAAGTAGGACTCAAGTACATCTTTATATGTCATTTCATAGTTACTTCTGTTGTCTTTGAAATACGGTTAAAGTCACTGCTGAATGTACACATTTGTGGCAAACTAAAATATCCTTTAATGTCATTTCTATTGAAACATGTATGTCATGTTTTTAAATATATCTGTAGTTGCACATTTGAAATGATGAAGTAGCAGTTTAGTACATTTAAAATATATTAACTTTAAATGTAATATCAAATAACACACTAGAGTTGAAATGATAATTAAGTACTTTAAATGTACTTATCAAAATAAGTGTACTTCTTTAAAGCATGACTAAAGACTTTTAATTGGACAAAACTGCACTATTTTTTAAAAGTTTATTTTTTTCAAACAGTCTTGAAAGTTTATTCTCTTTAGGTACACTTAAGGGGTCTTTTATTGCATTAATATTATAATGTCTGCAAGCACAGTTTTTAAACAAAATATACATTTAAGATTTGATGTACACTAAAAGTGCACATTTAATAGCTATGATTAAGCACTTCTTTTTCACAAGGGAATGATTTCTTAAGGATCTCGTTCAAATTCAGCTTTGCATCACAGGAATAAATTACATTTTAAACTATATTTTAATAGAAAGCAGTTATTTTAAATTGTAATAATATTTCACAATGTTAAATTTTTTTACTGTTTTTGATCAAATAAATGCAGCTTTGGTCTCAAGAAGCTGGTCTGTATTGGAGACACCAAGAAGTACAGAACTGACCCCTTCACTACGCAAACACCACGCTGAGTGAGAGATTTCACAAAACGTTAGTGTACACAAGCACTGGTTTTTATAAAGAACATCAGTGCAGAACATCAAAGCATTTGAAAGCACAGACCGTTCACTGTCCTTCTGATGCATATCACACACAAAAATCACAAGCACTTTCTCGGTCTGGCCTGCTCTAATCTGACTGGCTGGCTTTACATAACTTCCAGGAGTTGGGGAGCACATACAGTACAAGTGCACCGATAGTACAGAGACACTCACCAATGGCGAGCTGAGCAGCCGTGCAGCCCAGCCTGTCAGCCACCAGATGGAGCTCTTTGATTTTTGCCAGCTGTCTGCGTCCTTCTTCACTGAACACTCGCTCCTTTAGCCACTGATAGCCCTAATACACACAGTCACACACTGAACATGTATCATCGCTCACGTGGATTTAGCAAGTACAGGACTGTCACTGAATTAGAATTAGACTTCAAACAGCACTGAGAAACTGAACAGAGATTCCCAGGGAGGAGAGACGATCTCCTGCTGTTGATGACTCACTTTAATTGCTGCTCTTGAACAGTCTGGAACACCATCACTGTATTTCCCAGTGATCAGCCCGCATGCGAGAGGAGACCAGGTCATGGCTCCAACACCTGGCGCAGCGTGTGACAGTCACAAGACATAGAGTTAGACTCGACATCTGTCCTAATCAAACTTCTAATCAAATAATTAAAATCACGAAATCAAGTCATTATTTTTAAAATGTATATTCAATTCAATTCAATTCAATTCAAGTTTATTTGTACAGCGCTTTTCACGATACAAATCATTGCAAAGCAACTTTACAGCAAATTAAGTTTCTACAATATTTAGTGGTAGCTTATCAGTGGTGACTGTCAGTCAATGTACATATGGTAGAAATGTACAGAAAAATCAATTAAAGACGTAATATAAACTGTAAAGTTGCACATTAAAAAGGATCAAGGTCAGATACAGTAAATATATCCTGCCACTATATTCTGCATTGGCAAATTATAGCTTTGTAGTATGAAACATCTAAAAACATAAGAAATAATGCATTATATTGTAGTCTATGTTTCACCAGTGACTGATTTTTGGCGTTAAGCTTTTCAATTTAAAAGTATGTTAAATTATGTTTTAGTAAATATTTTGTGGTGCTTTAAAGAACTACACTTATTTTGATGTGTTGATTAACTTACTATAAAGCGCATGCAGAGTACTTGATTATAATTTGATTTATAAACACTCTAAAGTTCAGCTAATTCCATTTAATATATATGCATATTTAATCTAAAGGTATGTTTTCATTTAATTGCAATTGACATGCAATTAAGTGTCCAAAAAACATTACATTTCAGTTCACACTTTAAAGTATGAAATTTGAAAGTATGCTAAAGTGTGCTTGTTTCTGACCAAGGTAATTCCTGACTGAATTTCATTGTAAGGTAACTCTTGTCGACTGACCGATCTTGTGGTAGAGCTCTGGCAGCTGCACCTCCACTTTATCCCTCTGGAAATAGTGATACTCGGCCTGTTCACATACCGGTGGGATTAAATTAAACTGCCTCGCTACAGAGTACGCCTCCTAAACACACAAACACACAGACAACAAGGGGTTAAACTGTCCTTTCAATGGCCGAGAACAACCAACGTAAACAGCAGTTCTGGGGAGCGACTAATAGAAGCGACGCAATCAATTTATTGAGATTGTAGACAGTAGTTCATATATATTCATAATAACAGTGGAACTTTTCCAGTAACATATAGGATACTTAGGATACTTAACAGATAGGATAGGAAAAGTGGAAGCAGTAATCTACACCACAGTTTCCGCCACAGAATACAAACAATAATAATTAAATTATCTAATAAAAAAAAAAAAGTCAACTTTTTTTCTCGCAATTCTGAGTTTATCTCTCACAATTCAGATTTTTTTCTTAGAATTGCAAGATATAAAGTCGGAATTGCAAGATATACATTTTCAAACTCGCAATTCTGAGAAGAAAAGTTGAAATATTAACTCATAGATACCAACTCACAATTGTGAATAAAAAAAAAAAAGGCCGAAATTTGAGATAAAAAGTTGCAATAATCTTTTTTATTCCATGGCAGAGAAAAAAAAACTGAATTGCGAGATGTAAACTTAAAAAAAAAAAAAACTAAATTGCAAAAGTCAGAATTACAAGATACAAATTCTCACAATTCTTAGTTTAAAAAGTTGCAATTAACTTTTTCTTTTTTTGTTTTTTTTATTCCGTCGCAGAAATGGGCTTCCCTAATGATAAAAAATGCTCTTCTACATTTTATTTTATTTTATTTCTTTTTGTATGTAGCATTGGAAAATGCAAATTGACCAAGTAAATCAGTTCCAAGTAAATAGAATTGTGACCCTGCAGCACAAAAGCAGTCTTAAGTCGCTGGGGTATATTTGTAGCAATAGCCAACAATACATTGTATGGGTCAAAATTATACATTTTTCTTTTATGCCAAAAATCATTAGCATATTAAGTAAAGATCATGTTCCAGGAAGATATTTTGTACATTTCCTACTGTAAATATATCAAAACTTAATTTTTGATTAGTAATATGCATTGCTAAGAACTTCATTTGGACAACTTTAAAGATGATTTTCTCAATATTTAGATTTTTTTGCACCCTCAGATTCCAGATTTTCAAATAGTTGTATCTCGGCCAAATATTGTCCTATCCTAACAAACCATACATCAATGGAAAACTGATTTATTCAGCTTTCAGATGATGTATACATCTCAATTTTGAGAAATTGAGCCTTATGACTGGTTTTGTGGTCCAGGGTCACAAATAAAAATCTAACATGATATTACTGGATAGTACATTTAGTAGCTTGTAGTGTAACAAGCTACTTTCTCAAAGCAGTTGCTTGACTATGTTTTAACTACTTTAAATTGCTATAGTTGTGCAGTTTGTAAAACTTGTGGCTTGACTTACATGCATCATATTATGAGAAGCAGCTGCTGTGACACAGGAATGCTTTATGGTATGAATTTTGCTATATTGAGAGAAGATAAGACCGTACCATGATCTCCATGGCACTCCAGCGTGACGTGCCCCAGTACATGGCCATTCCCTGGTTTATAACAAATGTCATCGCTCGTACTACCTCTGCAAAGACAAACACACAACAGCGCTCGAGAGAAGCGATATGGCATAAATTACGCATTCGTCACGCATGCCATGAAAGATGTCAAAGAAATGACAGACCTTCCATGGGGCTGTTCACATCGTTTCGGTTGGCGAAGACAATATCCACGTAATCCAGCTGTAGTCTAGACAGGGAACCTCTGAGACCTGTAGACACATCACCATCACTGTCCGTCCGCTTTATTATTATCATCATCGTGATAGTCATAAACAGCACTTTACCTTCTATGATGTGTTTTCTGGACAGGCCTCTCTCTGTCTCTGCCCTGAGGATTATGAACGCAAATGTCAGAGAGGAGAACTACGGAGTCAGAAAACCTCTCAAGACGAATCTATCTATCCACAAAATGCAATCCATTTAAGTAGTACTGAGAATCTGCATGCTGGAACAAGCAGTCGATATTTAATATTATTGATTTTAAATGCAATATGTGCATTTCATTTGTATATTACGGAAGCCCATTTCCGCAATTAAATAAAAAAATTAAAAAGGGAATAGCGACTTTTTTCTTGCAATTCTGACATTTTTTCCCAGAATTGCATTATGTAAGCTCACAATTCTGACTTTTTTCTTGCAATTCTGAAAAAAAGTCAGAATTGTGAGATATAAAATTGCAATTACGAGAGAAAAAAAGTGAGAATTGCAAGTTTATATCTTGCAATTCTGAGAAAAAAGTCAGAATTGTGAGATAAAAAGTCGCAATTACCTTTTTTTATTTAGTGGCAGACAACTGCTTCCATAGTATACTGTATATAGCTCACTAGTACATAGACATTTGTTTGTTTTGTCGCTCATTACTGTTGTTGTTTCAATGCACTGGAAGCTTATTCTGACACCAAAATAAATTCCTTGTGTGTGCAAATCACAAAAATGAATCTCATTATGATTATGGCCAGTCATTCAGTTCATTTCCTTCAGCTCTGCCGCATTAGATTGTGGGGACTGGCATAAATACAGGTAAGCAGAGTATCTGCAAATGCATAAGCATAAGCGTTCCAGTGCTGCATTGACAAATATCAACACTCTTGGAAAACAGTTTGGTTAGAGGACTGGAACTAACTTTTGCATAAAAATCTGCACAATTTTTTACCTTCACAAAATCACTTTTTTTGCTTTTGCATTTATTGATTGTTGATTCACAAACTGTCACATACCGCATTTGCATCACCTCAGATGTGTGTATATTTTGAGACTTTACTAAATGATTATGATTCATAAATAGCTACATATGTTCATTTTGACACTATTCTGAATCATTTGTGTCGGTCTGAATAAACTGCATGATGAAACTCAACAGATACTCACTGTCCTCCCCAGTAGATCTTAGTCGTTACTACATAACTGGACCGTCTGAAACAGATTTTTAGAGACAAATGGTGGTTATTATATAGTGAGGACAAGCCTAATACTGTCTTATAATTTTGTTCCTAAATTAATCCAAGATTGACCATAACCAGAGCAGAGGAATACAGAAATACTTGATAAAATGTAAAAACATTTTTTTGCCACAGAATTCATCAAAAATGAGAGACGTGAGAATAAAAGCAGGTCACCTCCAGCCTTTTTTCTTGATGATGTTCCCTAGAGTGATTTCAGCCCTGCGGGGAAAAAAAAGGATACAAAATCTGAAAATATATTTTATGATTATTTCTATTACACTGCAAAAAAAAAAAAAAGGTCTCGATCTCAGTCTAGTTTTCCAGAAGATACCATGCCAAAAGATATTACAGTGGTCATATTATATATTTTTTAATATTATAAAACATATATTCTATTATATTTTCAGAAATTGCATGCATGCATTTTATCATGTTTGACTTGCGTAAATCATAAATGCCACTTAATGTCATTGTTTTCTTACTATCCCTACACAGTGCATTTAAAGTGACCCGGCTACTAGCACTGTCTATTTCCAAACTGTTTAAACTTTAAATCAATTGATAAATTATTATGATGTGTTACAAAATACACAGTGCGGTTAGGTGTCATGTCGTGCATTAACCCTATGCCATGCTTTTAAATATATTTGTAATTGCACATGCGTGTTTATGAAGTTGCAACTTTTTAATTGCAATACTGAATAACTCACTATAGTTACAATCCAGTATTTTACATGTGCTTTAGTATGTTAGTCAACACATCAAAATAAGTGTATATCTCGACAAAAGATTATTAAAACAAGGGCTTCAAATGCGGAAATGTTAAAAATGTCCGTTTTTAATTTGACTATCACAAAGCGCACTTTTTAAAAGTCTACTTAAGTGTGTTAAAAAAAACATAGTCATGAAAGCGTCTCTCTTTCAGTACATTTAAGTGGCCTTTTATTTCATGACTATTATTATATATATATATATATATATACATACATTTAAGATTTAAAGTACAAGTGCATGCTCAACACAATTAAGTGCGCTTCTTTCTCACAAAATACATTCAGAAAAAAACCCAGATCTATGTCTGTCGGATACAGTATAATCACTTTTATATCCACTGCATCGGTGGGAATCTTACCTGCCTGAAGCGTACACTTCCGCTGTGTCGAACAGATTGACTCCATTCTCATAAGCTATCGTCATCACACTCTCTGCCATCTACAGAAAAACATCCACACGCAGAAGATGACAGAGATCTGGCCATTTAAAGACACGATCTTGGTGCAAAGCGTTTCAGTTCCCACAGAACAATGATTTAAACTCATGCAGACTAGCATGCAGTAGCTATTTATGTTTGCTTATTGACTTCCATTACATGCACAAAAATACATTTTTCAAAATTAACTTCTTTTATGTTTCACAAAGTCATACAGGCTTGGAACGACACGAGGGTGAGTAAATGATGACAGGTTATTTATTTATTTGTTTGTTTGTTTGTTAACTCTTCCCTTAAGTGTGTCAATAACATACATAAAACACTGGAGGTAATCTTGTGAAATTAAGCAACATTTATCCTGAACATTACGATTCACCTCATCAGAGATCTGAGATCCAAATGTCACCCAGGTACCTGTGGACAGAAAGAGAGTGAAGATGAAGAAAATAAGGAGTAAAACACAGATTGGAGAGGGCTGGGATGCATAAAATACAAGAGAAAAAAAATGTGCCAACGATAAGAAGCATCACAACTTATTTCAGTTGTTACACAGGAATTAAAACGTAACTATGAAAAAATACCTAATGAACTCAATCAACTTCCCAGCAAGCAATAGCCGTCATTTCAACGTCTCGGTTAAGTATAGACCCGATATAGTCCGGCTATGTGTAACCCACATCTTGCAGATTTTTTTATCATAATATTTATATTTAAGTGTATTGTATTTATAACATTTTATTTTGTAATTAATTCTTTTGTATTTTTATCATTTTGTATTGTCTTAAGTTGTCCAGGTTGTTAAAAATTTTATTTTTCTTAATAAAAGCTGTATGGATGGATTGCCATTTTGTTGTCTATTAGACGTATATATGTAGTCGTTTAATAGCCGTCTAATTGATGACTAGTCTATTCTTGGGCTATGGTTAGACGTCTATTAGATTTTCACTGACAGCCCAAATTTAGCCTCGTTTTAGCCTAGACGTCTAGGCTATATTTAGACGTCTAATAAACGTTTGCTTGCTAAACGCTAATAAAATTGCTTGCTGGGTTGTCTCTTTTAAATTTTCAGAAAACATCTCGACAATGTCCAACACGAACTAAGTATGAGCAATATATTTTTTATCTTAATGTTACTCAGTTGAGAGTGCATTAACTAATGCTAACATACTTTTTGATTTTAAAAACGTCTTCGTAAATGTAGAAATAAGCAAGAGCTAAGATTAATAAATGCTGTTGAAGTGTTGTTCATTGTTAGTTCATGTTAACTGATGTAGTTAACTGCAGTAATATTAATAAATTAATTTGAATGAAATTATAAAGTGTTATAAGAATTGGTAAAATAATGATCGATTTCAACAGGTTTGTTTGCCATTGGTTAGAATGCAATGCTGTGACCTATTAATAGTCATCAGTGCATAAGCTGGGATAAAGAAAGTATTTAAACATGGAAAAAAAATTGACACTTCAGCTTTAAATAACTGACTGACTCCAGATTAAACCTTGAACAGTTTCAGTCTTAAACAGAGATGACTGAAAATCACTGGTTACTCACCAAGACCCAAGCAAGAAACACGTAGACCCGACTTTCCGAGGTTTCTGAGAGAAAAAATGAAAGAGAGAGAGAACATTTAGTCATTTGAACTCTGCTTTTGATGTAGTTTTATCAAATTAAGCTTTGCTTAATGATGTGCTATATTGTCAACATGCTTTAACTGTAACTGTATTCATTTGCATCGAACAGAAAAATGAAATCAGTAGTTCTGCATATTCTTGATATAGCTTACATAAATACTAAGTTCTGTCATTAAACTCTAGATGGCGCAGGCTATCGGTCCTTAACGTAACTGATGATATTCTTAGCACTAAACGACTTGTCACAAGCTGATTGGTTCACGTGCAGCAGCAGTATGTCTTAAATACTCACAGCACCATATTGGCTCATGTATTGGCAGTAGCAAGTTCCTGTACTTGCTTGCAGCACCAGCAGCAATATTCTACAAATACAGCAATAAAACCAAAACCATTGTAAAATGGCTAATAATAGATAAAAGTGTTGAAAGCTAGTGTAGCACCCTTGGTGTTTTAATTACAGATGCATGCTGTTCGTGAGAACACCAGTTGAAGATCCGCCTGCTTTTCATTTCAACCGCTGTTCGCTTACATGTCCGATAGAAACAGAGAGATAGAAAGAGACAGACTGTCAGCGTGTTTAGATCCATGCGGCTGAACCACGCTTTCTCTTCTCTGCATCTATTTTTGTTTGCCCGGCCAGTCTATTTATAGATTGGTTGCAACTGTGCATTTGTTTGCATCCAGTGTGCGTGTGTGTGTGTGTTTGTGTGTGTGTGTGTGTGTGTGTGTGTGTGTGTGTGTGTGGAATGGACTATTCATTATATTGATATAGACATATTACCAGCCAAGACTGTGAGGAATTGCTAAATTAGTAGCATGAATCATTAATTTGATCTAAAAAAGCTGAGAAAAAAAGGCACATCTATTCATCACATGAGAGGACTGGGTGAGAGAGGTAGAGAAAGCTGCAAAGCTCTTTCTCGCGGACACAAATATTTTCACTTTCACTGTCATCCTTCATTTTTATCTTTCTCCAACATTTCCCTTTTTCCACAGCGCTGCATTAGAGCGCTGCAACACACACACACACACACACACACACACACACACACACACACACGCACGCGTGCACACACACACATCTATATGCATGTATATGATGAGAAGCCGCAGGGAAGAAAACATGAAGATCATGGTGCTGAATATTCACAGTCGATGCTGCATGATTACACACACACACACACACACACACACACACACTCGCACTCGCACATGCACATGCACACGCACACGCACACACACACACACACACACACATTTTACTATGATGGTGGGGACTTTCTGTGATATTTTCTAGCCCCTAAACCTAACACTTACAGAAACCTGCAGTATTATTTTTGCAATATATTTTAGTAATATGTATAATTTAAATTCTGTTATAATTTACTCATCCTCCAATTGCTCTTTTCCATGCAATTAGTCTCTGTGTTTGAGTCTTTTAACTCACATAATGCTTTCAAAATCTATATACAATTTTCACATTCCAGGACCGTTTGGACCTGAAGATTCGTTGACAGTCATAACTTAATATTTTTCAACTAAAACTATATTGTATCTGATCACCAACTTTTCATTAATGGGTGAATGTGAATTTTTTTTTATGTTATCATATTATTACCAAGTTATTACTGCATTTACCCCTTTTGATTCAAAAATGAGAAATTCTTCAAAATGTACAATTAAACATGAACCATATATATATATATGTAAATCTTATTTGAATATATCATTGTATGAATTTGAATGTATTCAATTAATTTGACTTTATTATGTAATCCATGATTGTTAAAAAGCCGTCCAAATTTATGAAACCTACATATTAGTTTCAAACAAAACAACATAAATATTACTCATAAAAGTTTTCAAACAAAAATAAATTAATTGTACATGCATAAACTTTCACTTTCAGATGAAAAAACGTACTCATGTTTATCAACAAAATTCATTCACAAAAGATGGGGAAATGGGGAAAATGCTATTTATTTCCTTTTTATTTATTTTTTTACAGAATTCATGTTTACCCGAACACAAAACATTTTAAACATTTTTTAATTTCTTAAAAGTGGTTATATCTCTTAACATGTAATCGTATAATCTTTGCAGTTTTTAGAAATGTTTGTGTAACTCTTCTGGGTCAAAACGGACCTAAATGTGCAAATGAGGGTTAAAGCTATTAACAGACACAAAAGCAGCATCTTGTAAATCATGCATATATTCTATAAAGCTCATGCTCTGTGTTCAACGTTTTATAAAGCTGAATAGCATGTGTGAAAAACAGACGGAAATGTACCTTCCAGTGGGCTGTTCAATGCTACGACTGACTGATTGAAAAGAGCTCACGAATCACACATACTGTATAAGCGTGCCAAGGAAAGATAGGGCGGATGTCAAGATTTTGAGTGATTAATGACTTAAATTTCAGCTTGACCCTCACACAAACTATTGAGACGTCAACCTCATTGTAATGACATGGAAAGAGGGACTATGCATTACCAGTCAAAAGTTGAGTATGCTTTTTTGTTTGTTTGTTTGTTTGCAAAGAAGTTAATAATTTTATCCAGCATGGATATATTAAATTGATCAAAAGTGACAGTGAAACATTTGTAATCTTGCAAAAGATCAAATAAATGCTGTTCTTTTGAGGAAAGAATCCTGAAAAATATATCATTCAAAGAATGTCAAAAAGGAATGTTTGTTGAGCAGCAAATCAGCATATTAGAATAATTTCTGAAGGGTCATGTGACACTGAAGACTGGAGTAATGATGCTGAAAATTTATTTCACAATATTACTGTTTTTACTGTAGTTTTGATCAAATAAATCGAGCCAGAGACTTCTTTCAAAAACATTAGCAAATCTCACAGACACCAAACAGTAGTGTGCAATGACAAAATTGTAATTTATGGGTGCACTAATCTTGTGGTTTTTCTTTTGGGAACCAGCCAACAGGAGGTCATTTCAGGTTTTGCTAACAATGCTGTAACCCCCACACACTATTTTCACATGCTGACAGATGCTGCGATATGTCCAATGTCTTGATTTCCAAAACAGCAGCAGTTGGGACAAACGTTGAGCACCTGTACATTTGTTAAGCTTCTGTTTCTGCAATATCATGCAAGGTAGTCCTGCTGCAAATACTATACATACTATGCAAACGTATTTTCTGGTTGTGACTGTGTTATGTGATGCAGCATTTGCGAGTGGAAAGACAAATGATTTTATATCATTGGTGAACACTTTATTTGTTAAAGGCATTTGCTGCAAAAGATAGAAAAGATCTTTTAAAAGTCACACGCTCTCTATATCTCTTTCTTTTGTCTCTTTTCCCATTTTCTGTGAGATAGAGAAGTTTAATAATGCTGAGATCTTGGCTGATTCTCTTTTTCCTACCATAAGCCTCACTGTAAATCATCCTGTTGACACACAAGCACATGCTCAATAACACCGGCCTCTGCAGCAACCACCGACTTCTATTTACTGATATGTTTACAAAGGGTATGTATAGACAGACACACAATTATAGTTATAGTAAGCACTGTAGGAATCCATGCTACTGTGTGCTTTCGTAAAAAACTGGAGTATTTGTGTCTAGCTGATGTAACCAGAAGTGGATGATTGTGAAAGATTATTTTATAATAATCTGTCATTCCCTGTCCGTAGTGCAAATGGCTGTGTGTGTATACAACTGTAAGAAGCAAACAGTCACTAATTAATATCTCAGTTGGCTCTCATTGACAGCAACGAGAGCAAAAGTGGATTATAGCTAAACTCTCCCGCTTCTCGGTTGTTTCTCTTAAGACCCCAGTAATCTCACACATGCCTCTATGTAGAGAGCTTAACAAGAGATGTCTCAAACTGTGCTCAGATTTGCCAAGATCCCAAAGCCTGCAAGTCATTTTAATATGAATTATAACTGAACTAATATTTCTCAATGCATTCTTTCAAAATACCCAAGCAATGGCATTCACATTAACTGTATAGCTACTGTATTTCAAGAATAGCCTCGTCTGTTTTCTCAAGGATTTCAGAAGAAACATCTAAGACAAAGTTGACACCTCCTGTAACAATTTATTATTATAAAAGGCCTAAGACATCTTATTGGGAGATACAGAGTGACAACTGATCTTTATATGCATTTTATGTTAGCGATCTATTATACTGTTATTAAAAATGATTTACACAAACTATCAGAATTGCATCTTACCTTTTGTCCATATAAATATCATTGCATATTTTCGCTCGGTTTGGGCCTCTAAATAAAACTGAGCTGTTTTTTTAAACACATTCTCACTCCCAACTCGTCACATATTGATGCTTGGTCAGAATACCTTTCTAACACTTCGGCATCATACATGGATGTATGGGAATATCGCCATGATGAAATTACATATTGGAGTATTAATAAATACCTGTAAATAAATATTTGTGCAATACAAGTGTTTTATGTTGTTGAGAAGTGGGTAGGTTTAGGGTAGAAGTGGGGTTAGAGGTAATTTTTTTTTTTATATAAAATGTATACTTTTACATATGGAAAGAATTACATGCATCATTATCTTACGCATAAACTGAAAGCAACGGAGACGCCGAGGGATCCTGATCAAATGTAATTATGTAATGAGCTCCACAGACTCACTATATCTGTCACACAGCAAGGCCAGACACAACAGGTAAGTGCAAAACAGGATGGTTTATTGACTGGGTAAGGGGATGACTGGAATGGGTGACTTAAAGGCAGGTGAATGTCAAAGGCAGCAAGTCGATGGCGCAGTCCCATGGCCGATGAGGTGGTAACCTGGTGGCTGCCTGCTTACTGAAGTCATCCTGTAACGCCAAGTAATCAGATGGGACCGTGACCTTCTAGAAGGGGTGAGTCGGGAGGTGTCGACTTGCATTGGCTCTGGTACTGGGGAACCCATGCCGGGCGTAACAGGCTGGTGGGCGGCTTCGGTGGCGTGGCATGCGGCC